CATCACGGTGAACGCTCTAACTATCAATTTCCTGCTAGTAATTCTAATGATGATGAAGTAGATGAGGATGAGAACCAAACAAATGGAGTGAAAGACTTGTTGGCTGATCTTGGGAATTTCTACGATAATACTGGTAGTTTTGATAAAGATCACAACACAAATGATAGCGAGGAAAGTCTAGATGTGCCGATGAATTTTTTTGATTTACTAACCAAGGCAGAACAAGAACTATACCCAGGTTGTCCGAAGTTCTCAACTTTATCTTTTATTGTGCATTTACTCCACTTAAAAGTTTATAATAAATGGAGCAATAAGTCATTTGACATGATGTTAACACTTCTAAAGAAAGCTTTACCTCACGGCGAAACTCTTCCAAAATCATACCATGAGGCAAAAAAAAAATTTAAACGACTTGGGGTTAGGGTACATCGCATTCCATGCATGTAAGTATGATTGTGCCTTATTCTGGAATGAGTATGAAAATTGTCAAGGGTGTCCAGTTTGTGGGACTTCTAGATGGAACGTTAACAATGGAAATGCGAAGAAAATACCTCATAAGATATTGCGCTACTTTCCGTTAAGGCCCAGGTTGCAGAGGTTGTTTATGTCACAAAAAACAGCAGCAGATATGAGATGGCATCTAGATAAGCGAAAGATTAATGAAAAAGAGTTGACACATCCGGCTGATGGTAGAGCATGGAAAGAATTTGATAAAGAGTATCCATGGTTTTCAAAAGATGCCCGTAATGTAAGACTTGCTTTGGCAACTGATGGTTTCAATCCATTTGGTACTATGAGTACTTATTACAATATGTGGCCTGTAATTATCATTCTATATAACTTGCCTCCTTTGAAATGTATGAAGAAACCATATTTTATGATGTCATTGCTTATTCCTGGACCTCATCAACCAGGTAAAGATATTGATATATAGTTGCAGCCGTTGGTTGACGAATTAAAAGATTTATAAAATGAAGGTGCACAGATCTATGATGCATTATCTAAGAAGAATTTTCAAATGCATGCTACTTTTTTATGGACAATTAACGATTTACCTGCATATGGTTGTGTGTCTGGTTGGAGCACAAAGGGTTATATGGCGTGCCCAGTTTGTAATAAACATACTTGGTCGAAGAGATTGAGAAGCAAAATTCGTTACATGGGTCATCGCCGTTACTTGCCTCGTGGCCACAAATGGCGAAAAAAATAAGATGAAGTTTGATGGAAGTGAAGAGTACAACATGACCCCAATTTTTTTATCAGGAAAAGATGTATCGCGACAAACAATACATTTAAAAGGTGCAAAACATGGAAAACATCCAAGTGTGAAGAAAAGTAATAATTGATTATGAATTAGAAGCAGAGGAGGAAAACATTTTTATAAATTTCAAGTGAACTTTCTAAATTGGAATTTTCCCAAAATTTGGCAGGTACCGTTGGAATAGAAGTTTCCAATAGTGGAAATTTAAAAAATGCAGTATGGTACACGAATATATTATTTTTATATTTTTCTAAGTTGCCATATTAAAGTTATTAGCAACCGAAGAATCAGTTCTAGAAGATTTCTAATGGGCTTCAACTATTTGAATTTTAGGTCAAGTAGAAAACTTGATCTACAAGTCAACTAACTCTATAAATAAGAAGCTTAGGGTAGAGAAATAAACAAACAACACAACATTCTCTCTCAATCTCCTAGTTTTCGGCCGCCGCCGTCTCCCCTTTCCGCCGTCGCCCCCGTCGCACCGCCGTCGTAGACGGAAATTCTTTTTCCTTCATTTTTCTTCTTCTGATTCTTTCACCTATTAAACCAATAGTTTTCTAGTGCAAGTCATTGAGGGATTAATCTCTTAATCTCTTCAAGCCGCCGTCGTATGATTTGCATGCTATATGTTTATTCGTATTCAATATAAACAGATGATATGCATGCTAATAGTACTGTTTTGATGAACTTAAGTTCATAGAATTCGTATGATAGAAAAATTTTAAACTTCCGTTGCGTATGTACACTAGGCCAAAACGCAAGACTGGCGACGAAAATTCGCGAAGAATTATGTCTCCTCGCGACGTTTTATCACGATTAGCGACGTTTTTTTTCGTCGCCAAATTAGTCAAAAATCGACGCCAAACGCCCCGTCGCAAAGTCAGCGACGAAAATACATTTGCGACGCCACGTTTGGCGACGGAAACCCAAATTCGTCGCTGAACCGTATTTTCTGAAAAAAAAAATGATTTTTTTACTGTTCGCGACGGATAATGTGATTTCGTCGCAAGATGGTGCTACGAAATTGTACATTTCGTCGCAAGTTCACTGAATATTTTGGCGACTAAACAATGTTTTCGTCGCCCGGCTTTAATTAATTTGGCGACGTTAACGGAATTATATTTCGTCTCAAGTATTCGTTTTTGTTCGTGATTATTTTGTTTTCGTCGCAAACTTTTTTTTTTTAATTAATTAATTTATTTTAATAATTTTCTATTACAAAATTAAATCAGTTGTTTAAAAAAAAAAAACATATTAAAAACCACGATTACCAATTAAATATCAAAATACAACACATACATCAATTCAAAAATTACATAAAAACTTGAAACCATAAATGTATTAGTTCTGGAGGCACACTAACTTCATCTCGATTTTATACTCCACTATTATTAGGACGAGTCGACGTTGATGATTGTAATTCTTGTTGTTTAAAACGCTCGAGCAAGGTGTTCAAAATACCTCGGGTTTCCTGCAATTGCTCTTCTAATCGATCAACTTTTTCATCTTTAACTTGCATTTGTTCTTGCATTGTTTCTCGGGTTTCCTGCAATTGTTGTTCCAGTCGATTCACTTGTTCGTCTTTCATTTGCATTTGTTCTTGCATTGACTTCATTTGAATCTCCACGTCTGATGGTGTTGAAGAAAATCTTGACTTTCCAATCCTTGTGCTTGAACTTTTAATTCCAAGGCCTTTACTCTTTCCCGAAACCTTTTCAATTGCAGTCGAGTTGGCCGTGCTTTCGTCACTTCCATCACGCATGGTCTCATTATAAACTCGCTCCAAATCAGCCTGAAAATGATTATGTACAAAAGTTTAGCCGAAAATTCGACAGCATAACATCTAAATATGAGCATACCAAAAAAAAATCCTTACCAGTACACAACAACTTGACATATTAAAAAAAAAAAACCATAGCCACACATCTAAACTTCGTACTTAATTAACATATCAAACAATTAACATGATAAACTAAAATATCCATATAATAAACCACAACAGCATATCCATATTCATAGATAAAAACCACATCCATATCCATATATCCCAACTAAACATATAAAGAATTAACATACTACCGATTGAAGAAAATAATTACATTTTACTTACCGAAATGAGAATTGTTCCGGAGTTGCTGTCGCGTTATACGGCTCTGTCTCTCCTTCCTCACTAATAGATGGTCTGGTTTCCCTCAACGCATCAATGCCCATGTAGGCTTTCTTATACGTATCAAACACGGTACGATTTTTGCCAATGTATTCTTCTTCGGACTCTCGATGCAGAGTCCATCGGCGTTGCCCATAAAGTTTATCCCAATCCCTCCAAAGTAAATGTTTATGCACGAATTCACGATCCCCCCATTTACGACACTTACAGTCTCTACATGGACATCTTATTTTATTATCAACGTCACATTTAGCGAAGGCAAAATCCATAAATTCCACACAACCATTTCGATATACTTCTAACCGACGATCATCTAATAAAACCCAACTCCTATCTTTTAGCATGCTTTAATTAACAAGTACACCTAAAAATTGTGAAGGGTCACAATTATTAAAATCACAATTATTCTATCAAGTCAAAGTTACATTCATAAACTAACACTAAATTAAGATGGTAGTCGCAACGGGAAAACTTTCAATTTTTAATTGACATCAATTTTCAATTTTCAATAGGATAATATGCAAACACATAATTCCGAGCAAAAAACCCAAGAAGAGTTCGCAGTAATCAAACACATACGAAATTATCAACATAAAACAAACAAACAAACAAAACCAGAAGCAATAGCCTTTAAACCAACTAAGTCATCTAATAATCAAATTGATTATGCAAAAAATTCGGAAACACATTAGTAGAAGATCTCCAACAAAATCCCAAGCAACGGAAAAAACAGAGCGAACCAAACAAAACATAAAACTGCATCAACGAAAGATTAAAAATAAATACTGAAATTAAAGCTTGCAGTTAATATGAACAACCAAGAATATGAACAGATCAGGTCATTGTATTAGAATTTATTTACATCCCCACCGATTAAGATAATCAAATGAACAACTAATATGTAGAAAGTACCCCCAAACTCAGTAGTTCAATAATCATTCGAAACTCAGTAGTTCAATAATCATTCGAAACTTAGCTTTGAGGTAATTAAGGTTATATTTTGCAACAGAAAAAAAAACCTTGAATATTAACCTCGAAACTTCCCAACATGTCGGGCAACGAGCACTACAAGAAAAACTAGTTTCAGTGACCAAATTCTCAGCGACCATAACTAAATGGTCACTGAATGTTCACATTTAGTGACCAAAAGTAAATTTGTAGCAAAAGTGGGAAGGGTTAAATCTTTTTGCGACCAGCGAACATTTGGTAGCTATATGTGGTCACTAATAGTTAGACATCTTGTAGCAACTAAAGTTAAAGTTTGTAGCGACAATTTTTATGGTCACTATAACTTAGTGTCAATAGTGACCAAGTTAACATCAATTTTTTTTACGGTTGCTACGAGTCTTTAATTTAATTATTAACAACCATTTAATTGGGTTGCTAGCAACCACTTGAATTTGGTTACTATGAAACTACTTACGAAATCAAATCGATTTGGTCACTAGTTTAGTTTTTAAATAAATCAAATCAAGAAAAGAAAAGAAAATAAAGATGGGGCGAAAATGCAAATAATAAAAAAAACACAGCCATTTATAATTCTTTCGTTTCTTCATCACAGAATATTCTACCAATTCTCGCATAATATTACAGAAAATCAAGAAAAAATTATCTCTTAATTTCTTCATTATGTTTGCACCAAAATCCCTCTTATCTTACCTCTTTTGTTTTCCCCAAAAGTATTCGCCTATTTCACCCAATTTCTCCAAGCCCTAGTTCCTACCCCTGTTCGAGAATTTTCGAATTCATTAAGGAGATTCGGAAGATTTGATTACAGGAAAAGAATTGGGGATTTGAAAAGATAATTTCAGATTTGGGTTTTAAGGAAAAATAATAGTTTGGAGACCTTCGAGAATGAATCTCGTCGATCAGGACCCACCTTTGGAATAAGATGTACACCGGTGTTGGTGATTTCCGGCAGAGGTCGCCGATGGTGGTCGTTATCTGGTGTTCAACTTTTGGCTCTTCAAAGAATTAAATGAACGGAGGTGTTAACGGTGGAGTATTGATGATAGAAGGTACTGTTACAAACCTCGAGAAGTTTTATTCGACGGTGGTCGCCGAAATTTGGTGTGAAATTCAGCATGCTCGCCGGACAGGGAAATAAAATCTGCTACGGCATCTGTTTTCGGAGCCAAAATCGAAGGGTTTGGAGTGTGAATTTGGGAATTATTCCTTCTCGAAACTCGTAGAGGACCTCGAAAACTGTGAGTAAGTGTTTAATTATTTCCGATTTGAGCACGTGTTATAGCCTTTTAGGGGTCGGAATCAGACGACAACGAATCTGTCAAAAAACAGGGCAGTTTTGCCTAATCATCATGCGGAGCTGTTTTTGTTATGTTGGAGTAATAATTTAGGCTATGTGTCTTCTGATGTTTTGTATATTGAGTTGTGAGGTTTGATTTGGTATATTATTTGGTCGATTTGGATAACTCTACAAATTGTTATGATTTTTCAAATAAACTGTGACAGCAAACAAGTTTGTCCAGAACAATTCTGGCAGTTTCATGTATTCAACTTTATGGGCTGTTATTGTTGTGTTATCTTAGTAATTAGGGGTTGGTATCTTCATCACAATTGTAGATAAAGTTGTGAACTTTTATTTGGTATATTGTTTTCCCAATTTGGATAAGCCTACGGCCTGCTACGATTTTTGGAAGAAAATGTGACAACAAATAAAGTTGGTTTCTAGTTTAATGTCCATAGTTAGCATCTATCTGTGTCATTAGTTATTTGAGTCATTAGTTATTTGAATTTTGTCTTATGCACATTGATCAACAAGTTTAAAGTAATGTGATCGAAGGTGAAGCTTAAGAAACTAATGGATTCTTATTTCAGGTGTGTCATCCGTGGTTGTGTACCTAAGAAAATTTCGGTCTATGATGTTGCTTTTGGTGCTAACTCAAGGTGAGAAGACTTTGTTATTTGAGAAAGACTTTGTTAGTTATTTCTTCAAGTTATATAACCAAATTTAACCCGACAGCTATGTTGGCGAAATTCTGAGAAATAGTAAACCTTCTGCTGCACTTGTTTCCGGAGTCGAAATCGAAGGGTTTGGAGTGAGATTTTCGAATCAGTCTCTTCACAAAACTCGTCGAGGACCGTGATAATTATATGTAAGTGTTAAATCGCTTCTAATTCGAGCAAGTTTTATAGCCTTTTAGAGATGAGAATTTGACGGTAGTGAGTCTGCCAAAAACAGGGCAGTTTTGATGAATCATCTTCGTTGGGTTTTATTACTGTCTTAGGATAATAATTTGGGATACATTTCTTAAGTAAACTTTTAGATTAAGTTTTCAGCTTTGATTTGGTATATTGTTTGGCCAATTTGGATAACTTTACAAATAGTTATGAATTTTACAATAAACTGTACCAGAAAAGTTTCCGTCACTTTTACGGTTTAATAAATATTTTCCGACACCTTCGAAAATTTTCCGGTATCGCGACCGCCTATCTTTTTTCCCGATATCCTTGTAACGCCAATCAATTATATCATCAAATGCCGGAGCATCGCACCAATGGCAGAAGTTGTTGTATTTCATCCATCGAACAAAGCAGTGGGTATGAAAAGCATGTCCGCACGCGGGGACCACCGATATCTGATCACCGATATTCGGGCCCCGCGTACATATCCTACAAACCGGCATCAACCCTAATCCTTGGTCAACATTCACAACTCTAGTCTTCGATAACATTAAAATATCACGAGGAATACGATCACGGTCATTCAACCTCAATTGGACCAACTTTTCGGCTCGGATCGCCCGGTCCATGGCTGCCCCCACTGTCTCGTCTTTCTGCCGGACCGTTCGGTCCTCAAAGTTGACTAGCACTGGGATTATGCGTCGAGAGGCATCATGTTCCGGGTCGGCCATCGCCTGTCTGGCAAAATCAAGCAGCTCGAGCTCGAATGTTTGTGTTTCGTAACCGGTCATCCAATAATCGAGCATGCGGTGAGTTAACATAAGTCGCAATAGAGACGACTCACTATCTTTTCCTATTCCGCCATAGTCGCATTCTAATGTTTCCGTGTCCATGATTTGATCTTGACCGTCCGTTGTTTTGATGATGAAGTTAGTTTGGATCTCAAACATGAGAGTTTTCATTTCTCGATGGAGTTCGTATTTGTACCGTAAAACTATACCATTGTCGACCGAGATACGATAGTTGTATTCGTACCCCGCCACTCTTTCTGCTGCCATTTTTTTTTTTAATTATCTCCGAATAGCATGTACCTACAAACACATGCGCAATCAACATTAAAGAAACAAATAACAAGTTACACAATATGCAGATGCAGGAATACAGTTATATTAAAATAAATAAATTATGGCCCGATCCGCAATTGAAAAATAATAATTAAATACATCCAAATACAATGAATCGAAATTTTCAAAATTATTTTAGATCGAAATTTGGAAATTCCGAAAATTTTATGTTGAGTTCCGATTCCGATCTGGTTTATTTTTTCAGAAATTGGACTACGAAACATCGTTCCCAAATCGAAAATTTCGTTCTGATTTCCACCTGTAGATCTGATCTGATGATATGCCAAATAATAAAAGTAGATCAAATACTAATCACACAACCAAATAATAATTAATCACAAGAATAAGTAAATAGTAATGAGAGAACAAAAAACAAAATCTTAAAAACATACAATTGAGAGTACCTGAAGTGAAGAGAGAATTGAACAACAAAATTAATATATTTTAGTTGTTGTGGTTTTATTCTTAATAGTATATTTTTTTCTATCACGGACTCCACTCATGAGTTGACACGTGTTTTTATTTGAATTGTTATGCTTCCAACTCACGTTAACTACTCTACTTATGTTTATTTATTTTTAGGTTTTTTTCTTTTTTTATGTGTGTGTGTGTGTGTGAGAGAGAGAGAGAGAGTCGTGTTTTTTGATTACATACTAAAATCGGTGAAATCGGTGCTTTTATAATCCGATTTAATTTTGAGAAAATAATTTTACTCCAGCACGGCAGCACCACCGTCACAATTAGGGGTGGAAATCGGAACAAAATTTCCGATTTCCGCCGAATTCGATCCGAAAAATTCCGATTTTGGAAGGATTTTTTCAATTCCGAATTCCGAAATTCCGAATTCCGAAATTTCCGAAAAAAATATATTATTATTTATTACTTTATTTTCTAAACAATTAAAATGTAAATTCTAACCCTAATTGAATTAGCCTCTCATTCTCATCTTCTCACCTCACGCCGCTCCCCACTATTTTTTCTGCTTTTTGCTTTTCTCCAATTAACACCACCCTTGATTCTCCGTCAACCACCACCCGTTCCGCCTCTTCCTCTCCGCCGAGCACCAGCTCCGCCCTCTTCCTCTCCGTCAAGCACCAGAGCTGCCTCCGTCATTCTCTCCGCCTTGCACCGGCAACGCCGCCCTCTTTCTCTCCACCGAAAACCAGCCCCGCCGCCCTCGTTCTCTCCGCCGAGCACCAGCCCCACCGCCCTCGTTCTCTCCGCCACGCCGTTCTCGTTCTCTCAACGAGCACCAGCCCCGCCGCCCTTTATTCTGTTTTCATATTTTTTTCTTTTCTAAATCCTGATATTCCGAAAAAATTCCGAAAAATCCGAAAATGAATAATTCCGAAAAAATCCGATTTTCCGAAATTTCCGAAAAAATCGGAATCGATTCTTGAATTCCGAAAAAATCGGAATCGGAATCGGAAGTTTAGCCTTCCGAAAAAAATCGGAAATTTTCCGAAACACCCAAATCCGATCCGTCACAATGATAAAACACCGGAACATTCACCACCTCCGCGGCATCGCCACCGCAAATCCCCAAAGCTTCCACTCAGCCACCACCACCGCCGACGACCACGACGAACAACTACTCTCTAACATAAAATCGAAATCCGAACTCCTGAAGTCATACACAGTGACACCGCCAATCAAACCCTGGCCCCAAAAACTCACCACCAAGCGCCTCTGCTCCATCATCGCCCAGCAGCAAAACGTCGATCTCGCCCTCCAAATTTTCCACTACGCCGGCAATTACCACCCTAATTTTCGCAATAATTACGACACCTACCAATCCATCATCCACAAGCTCTCCCGCCGCCGCGCCTTCGAACCCATAAACTCCCTATTGAAGGAACTGCGCCAATCCCAAACCAAATGCGGCGAAGATCTCTTCATCACTCTCATCAGAAACTACGGCATTGCCAGCAAACCCAAAGAGGCGATCAGAATATTCCTCGAAATCAACGATTTCGGTGTTCAAAGGTCAGTTAGGTCATTTAACACTCTGCTCAACGCTCTAGTTCAGAACAAGAAATACGATTCCGTTCACATTATGTTCAAGAACAGCCGGAAAAGATTCGATATTGTGCCCAATGTTTTCACTTGCAATATACTGCTGAAAGCTCTGTGTAAAAAAGACGACGTCGAGGGTGCAGTCAAGGTGCTCGATGAAATGCCGAGCATGGCTATGGTTCCAAATGTGGTGAGCTACACTACAATTATGGGGGGATATGTGGATAGAGGCGATATGGTGGGAGCTAAGAGAGCTTTCAATGAGCTTCTAGATCGAGGGTGGTTGCCCGATGCAACAACATACACTGTATTAATGGATGGGTTTTGTAAATTGGGAAAATTTATCGATGCAACAAAAGTGATGGATGAAATGGAGGAAAACGGGGTCGAGCCGAACGACGTTACATATAGTGTTATGATCGAGGCATTGTGTAAAGAAAATAAATCGGGTGAAGCTTTGAACATGATTAGTGATATGCTCGAGAAGAAATACGTACCGAGCTCCGGTTTATGTTGTAGGGTGATTGATGCGTTGTGTAGAGAAGGGAAAGTGGATAAAGCGTGCGATTTGTGGACGATATTGTTGATCAAGAATTGTACTCCAGATAATGCTATATTAAGCACGCTTATACATTGGTTGTGCAACGAAGGGAAGATTTGGGAAGCGAGAAAGTTGTTTGATGAGTTCGATAGGGGTTCGATTCCGAGTGTTTTGACGTATAATACACTCATTGCGGGTATGTGTGATAAAGGGGAGTTGTGTGAAGCGGGGAGGTTGTGGGATTGCATGGTGGAAAGGGGGTGCCCCCCGAATTCTTTCACTTATAACTTGCTTATAAAAGGGTTCTGCAAAAAGGGTTACACGAATGAAGGGATTAGGGTTTTGGAGGAGATGTTGGATAAAGGATGCCCTCCGAATGAATCGACTTATTCTATCTTGATTAAAGGACTTTGTGAATCTGGATGTGAAGCGGATATATCGAATGTGCTTAATGTTGTTGCCTCTCGTAAAGTGGAAATTAAATCCGATTCTTGGAAAGTTTTAGTCGACAAATTTGTTGCTAATCGTGGTAGCACGGGTGTAACTTTGGAAAGAATATTGTCGGCCAAATCTTCAATCGAGACGGCCAATTCTTCAATTGAGACGACGTGTGCTACTTAGAGGTCAATTAGCACTCGAATTAGCTAAGGTTTTGCTCTTATCTTTTCTCGTTTTAGTTTGATGTTGTGCAAGTTTTAAATAGCTGCAAGTGTTGGGCAGAAAATTGTATTCGTATTCATACGGAAGTTGTTCGTTCATCTCCACAATTAATCAAAAAATGAAAACTCTTGTCTTCAAACCAATTTCAATACCTTTATGCTTCCACTTGAATTCGCGGCAACAACCATTTGCGATTTTCGTCTCCAACACAAACTCGAAACGAATTGCCCATTTCCTTCACTGGTCTCGTTTCCCGATATGGGGTCCACGTATCCGAATTCGTGACTAGTAATCGGCATTGGCAACGATCGATAATAAGCATAAACTTAAACAAATATTCAATTAATTAGCATATGATACATCCTTGTAATAATAGAAGAAGAAAAAAATCACCTCATTAGTTTCAGAACCACAAGCTATATATCCATCCAACACTGCCAGGCCAACAAAATTCTACATAGATAGATACATGATAGATACAAAGTTAGAGAAACCAAAAAAAAAAAAAAAATTAAATAGAGAAAAAAAAAATTAATTTATGGGCTTCGGTAAAAATTAATTTACCTTCTCATTAGTATGTCCACTAAAGGTCAAATTGCAAGCATTGGAGGATAATCCCTCTAAGCTTGTTTTCTTCAAATCCCACAACTTCAACGTATTATCCGTCGATGCGGATACGATAGTTTCCGGATCCAAATACCTCACATAGCTAACGGCGTTTTCGTGGGCCACTAACGTGCACCATGGAATTCTCGTGTGACGCAAATCGTAGCCGTAGATTTTATAATCGGCGGATCCGAATGCCATTAAGTGAGAGGAGTATTCGGAGAATTGTACGCAACAAATATTGGCGGGGTTCCAAATCGTGTTGATTGAGTTTCTCTGTACGGTCAAAGTAAAGATAAGCAGTAGCGAAGGCAACATAGTGTGTATTTTATATAGATATTTGTAATTTTTTCGAGTAGTGTGGTGTTGTCAATATTATTAATGACTAAAGATTGGGAGTGGAAGTCGAACAGATCGGACCGAAATTAGATGTTTCTGAAAAAAAATCCTTTTTCTTCGGAAGAGAAAAATTAATCCGCATTTCATTCCAAAAAGAAATGGAAAAATATGAAATCGGAATATTGGAAATTGTAGGGAAAAAGCTTGTTCGAAAGTCGGAAATTATCTGCGAAGTTCAAAATTTCCAATTTTTTAAAATACATAATAATACTGATATTATGTGTAACTTTCAGAAATACTTTCAAAAATTAAAATCAGACGGAAAATCGGGATGAAATATGTACTCCAAATCCGTTTAGAAAACATCGGGAAAATCAGAAATCGGAATAAAAATGAAAAAATGTTGTCCCACATCGAAATATTCGGATCAAAAAATTCTGGCAGTTTTCTGTAACATCTTTTGGGCCTGTTTTGAATATGCTGGGATCATAATTTATGATCAGAGTCTTCAATGAACATGTAGATGCAGTTTTTATCTTTCATTTGGCATATTACGTTCCCAATTTGGATAATCGTACCAATTGTTATGATTTTTCAAAGAAATTGTGGAAACAAATGTTTTAAACCTTTGTTTCGAGAACTCGTCAAACAAACACGAGTCAACTCCGTACCATGTGAATTGATGCCTGGAGTGTGTTGTATTTGGTAAATAAAACGCCATAGAAATTGTGTATTATGTTCGATTGTCAGTTATGGCATAAGATTTAAGTTAGGATGTGTGTATGAAATAGAACCGAATAGTAAACGATTATGTTAACATTCGATAACTTATTTAATTCTAATATTTGATAGGTGTTGAGTATATTTATGCTCTCATTCAAGACTTCAAGACTTGAGCATGACTCGAGAGTAAGGTGTTTTTATAGCACTTGCATTGAACTTCCGGTGAGGATCTCTATTTCTTCACTATTATTTATTGGAAAAATAGAATGCACACTGAGAATAAGATATTTTATTGCTTCTTGATCACTTAAATGTGATATATGTTACTTTGATTCCTGAATTGTTGAAAATAATGATCGATTCGAAATCCTCTTCATGGAACTTAATAACTTCTCTTGATTCGGGAATTGTTCGAGTAATTTCTCATCCCGATTCCTTGATTACTCAATTGAGTTATTTTATCTACCTTGAATAATTCAACGAGTTTCAATTTGTTTCTCTATCAATTCGGAATTGTTTCTCATCTTTACTTGTTGGAACCACTTCTTCTATCATGACTCCAAATGATTTGTTTCTACAGTGGTTCATTGAACGCAAATCGTTCTTTTCCCGACTGTTGAACCATTTAGGATTATTGTATTTCGATAGTGGGCGTCACAATTTGGTTCTTTGGTACCATATATTTTGTTCTCTCTTTTGTTACTACAAGAAGCTGGCTTTTTGTTTGACATGTATAAATTTACACAAATTAATACTCTTATTTTAGATGGGGCTGATACAGAAAATAATATTAGATTATCGGGTGTTGCTCACGTTTATACGAGATTTATTTATCGTGGATCTAGGTATAGTTAGTATTATGTATTTTGATTGCATACTTGGAATAGATTCTATCATATGATTTCTTATTTTCTAATTGATTTTTTTTCCCCCTTTTTCAGGTTGGACTGTTTGATGAAGTGAAAGAACGTTATCGTGGAAGTCATATTTGTTGTCGATTAACAATTTATGAAGTGGAATTTATTATGAAATAATTATAGTAATCTTTCTTATTATTTGGAATGATTGATTTATTATTTGTATTTAGTATGAAAGATTGAAATTATAATATTCACATTTGATTGGTAATATGTAAATTTGAAATCTTTAGTTTTATTTTAATTTTTTTTACAGCCACTGTTGCAAATAAACATTAATGATTAATGCAACCAATTAATTATTGGTCTGAATTGGTCAGTAAATTTAATAATTGTCGAAACCATGTAAAAACTATTGCAACCAATAATATGGTCACTATATGTATATATTTTAGCAACCAACAGATATATTATTTATAAACCAACATATACCGTCACTATATGTATATTATGTAGCAACCAAAAAATTTGGTGGCCAAATATATATCCTATAGCAACAATAAAATATGGTCACTATACGTATATATCATTTAGCGACCAAAATTATATGGCGACTATATATGTTGCTATAGCAACCATGTTGATATTATTGCCACCATAAAATTTACATTAGCGAGTCAAAAACTGGTTGTTAATAATTATACTTTTAGTGACCAATATTAGTTCGCCGCTAAATCTCATCTTTTAGCGTCCAATTAATTTTCTTGTCACTAATACTTTTAGTAGCCACCCTGTTGTGACCACAAGCCTAATTTGGTCGTTATAAGTTTCAGCGACCATTATCTTGCGTTTAGCAACCATAACAAATCGTCCCTAGAACCATTTTTTCTCGTTATAAGTTTCAGCGACCATTATCTTGCGTTTAGCAACCATAACAAATCGGCCCTAGAACCATTTTTTCTTGTAGTGGACCGTGTACACCTCATTCTTGCTCTTCACGACAATGTCTTTCCTCTTTAGGTGGGAAGTGGTCGACGGTACACGATGAGAAGGTCCTTCAGGAAGTTCTTGAGGAGGTCCTTCCACAACAAACAATAAACAAATAAAAAGTTAATACACAATAAACTAAAAAATGAATTGAAACAATATATTTTTGCCACATGGGAAAAAACGACAACAACATGTCATTATTTTCTGAACCAAAAGACATGCTCCAGTCGTTTTTTCCCAAATGAAACCACACACATGTGGCGAAAATTCCAATGACACGTTGGAATTTGACATGATGAACATCAATTAAAGTTAATGATAACAACGACCAAATTAGAAGCATTCATACACAAATAATAATCAATCAATGCTCAAAACTATACCAAATTCTAAGTACCCATACAACATTCCGAACAAAATCTAAGACAAAAAAAAAAAAAAAAAAACAAAGCTTAGTTGAAAGCCAATAATGGCGTCCGGGTTTCGGGTGAAGGCGGCGCTGGAGCGGGTGGAGCAAGGAGGAGTGGCGGTTGAGCGGCAGTGGCACCGTGCGGCGACAATGGTGATGGTGGGTAGAGTTTCTAAACGGGTTTGGGGGTGTGGGTGGGAAGCGGAGTTTGTTTTGTCTTTTCTTTCTTTTGGTCTTAAAATGATAAAATAAAGTTTTTTTGTTTGCATAAATTGTATTTTGTGAGTAAGGGATATTTTCGTATTTTGTGGTATTAAACTAAGAAAATATTTGAAAAAAAAAATTAAATTAAAATGTGGTCTTTAACCGATATTGAAGTGAGAAAAAAATTGGTATAAAAAATAGCCGTCAGCCCCTACTTGAAAATGTCCATTATAAAGGCCAAGGCGGACCTATTCAAGCAAGCAGCAAACCGAGAACTGAAGTCCTTGCTCTTATTGAAAGAGCAATTCAAAGCCTACGTCCGGATGTACAACATCTTCTCAGACACTTAACCGCCGATGTGAACTATTCGGTATATGCAACCACTCATCCAAAAATTGGTCCGAAACACTAATTAACTTGATTGTATCCATTTACGAAACTCGCTCTATGATCTTATTCACAGATACTCTAGGAACAAATATATGATTGTATTAATATCGAACATTCTTTGCATCCCGGTGATTTTGGTTGCCATTGTTAAGATTGTTATGTCGTTTATAATTTTAAGGTCGGATTCGTGATCGCGCATTTCCACAATTGTTACTTTGTTTATAATTTTATTAGAGAAAACAAAAATATTGTAACTTTACGAATTTTAATTGGAGAGATTTTAATTTTGGTTCAATTTTTTTTTAGAATAACTTGAAAAGAACCATGTTACGTAATTTGTAAGCATATAGTTCATGAGTAAACTAAACAATCGTCTGAATTATTTTCTATGAGTTTTGACAATCAAAGCATTAAATAGACGTGAATCATGTGATATGCCAATAGTTTTAACATGCTTGTATAGTCAATTATATATACTTCATGCGGTAAGCAGTTATTAGAATTATTTTCTGTGTTGCAATAATTGAACCAAGTAGACGTAAATTATATAGTTGGTAAAGAGTTTACTGAATTTATTAGCACCCATTGTTTTATCGAAAGACTAATCAACTTCATGTATTATAAATATGACACCTTACAAATAAGTCCATTAATCGTATTTATTTGTAAAGAGGTACGACAATAAATTCTTTTATAAAAAAATTTCACACATGGTCCAGAGATTTGTAAAAGACTAAAATCGCCCCTCACATTTTAATATGCTCCAATTTCACCCTTTAATTAAATCTAACCTCAATTTGACCCAAACTTTACAAACTATTCAATTTTGACCGCTGATCTCACTTTGTTTTGACTTGCAAACTGATTTGAATCGGAGAAGAGGTTTAACTGATAATTTTAACAGCACAATTTCTATGATCTCGATCGGAAGAGCCATGGTGTTTTTGGAGTTTGTAGCGGCGTGGTTTTTGGAGCTGTGTATCGATGTTGCAGAATGTAGTGTGTGTGTATATATATATTTCGTAACCCTAAACAATGAACCCTCCATGGGCCCGCATGGGTGTAGCTCAACTGGTTCCGGAGGTGGTAAGTTGGTGCAAGGTCCTAGGATCGAATCCTGGCAGCCGCAGTGTGGGAATTTCAACTCCAATGAGATTGGTTCCTTGTGGGCACCAGGTCCGGGTCCGCTACCTTAACGGGCCGTTGAGTTACCATGATTTACATTCCTCCATCAATCCTTGTCGGGCCAAGGGATGGGGGCCCTGGGGGCGAGGGATTTCGCCTTTTGGTGCAATGAACCCTCCATGGAGCTAATTGCATGGAACCCTTGTGTAATCTTGAATGCATAAAAAGCCCCCCACGTTAAAACTATTAGCATAGGCCACCCTATATTATTTTTGACAAAGAACACTGTCCCTTATTTCAAAATTAGCAGTTGACTTATACAAATGACTAAATTAACCCTTATATATTTTAATAATTTATGTTTCAAATATAAATAAATAAAATGCAAAATGAATATAATTACAAAACTCTAAAGAGAAAGAAGAAAAATTATCACTCACGGCCATCATCTCCTTCCCCAACCCAATTCGTCCATCGAGCCCTCCTCCGCCACATCATCACCACCTCACCACCACGGCCGCAAAACCTGGCTTCCCACCCAAAAAAAAAATTATACTTTATGTTTGATGGGTTCTTCTAGATCTCTTGTGAATCAAGATTTTGGATTTTATTACCTTTTGTGCGTGTGTGTGTCTGTTGTGCTGGGTTTTTTGGTGATTTTATTGGGGAACTTATATAACATATCGCCACACTATTCTTCTCATCTCTTCGTCAGCGGTAGGTTTGGAGGCGGCATCATCCGTGCCGGATGAATCATCCATGGTGGATCGGGCCTCTCTCTCTCTCTCTCTCTCTCTCTCTCTCTCTCTCTCTCTCTCTCTCTCTCTCTCTCTCATACACACAAGGTTCCATCGTGAAGTGCAACTTTTGTTGGTATTTCTTCTTTTGCAAACGGGTTGTTTATGAAGATGAACTGCTCGATATTATTTCCTTCTTTTTTTTTTTGGCGAGGAGGAAGAGGGAGAGGGAGAAAGAAGATGAGGTTTTGAGAAATTGTGAACATTGTAATTGATCCTATGCCATTTGGAGAGAGGGCTTTTCTGAAATTATTAGGGATTGAATTGAAAATTCTGAAAACTTTATTTTGAGCTTATGAAAAATAATGGATAAATTTATAAATTTCGAAAAAATTGATTTCAAGATTATTTAGGTCTTTCCAGTTCCAAAATCAGACCCCCATAGTCGCACAAAGCGCGGGTGTATAACACATCAAGCTCATAGGGTCCTTTTTGGCTTTGACTGTTTTTCATAGGGGGTTTTGTGCTAATACTTTTAACACAAGGATTTTTTCAACTATTCGAGATTACACATGGGTGTTTTTTTTTGCAAAAAGAACCCCGATCCATGGGCTACGAGGAAAATATTTTAAAAGTGTAAAAAATAATTATTTAAATATATGACAATAACAATGAGTTATTGCATAGAAACCCCTGTATAATCTGTAATACTAAAAAACCCCTATGTCAAATCAATTAGAACATACCTCTGTGTTGCATAGTCGATGACAGTAAGGCCCCTAGAGCTGGTTGTGTGAACACTCGCCAAATATCCGACTTGGGTTCCATTTTTATGTGAAAGACCCAAATACCCTTTAAATTATAAATTTCATAAATAAGGCCCAAATAAAGTTTTCAACTTTTTTCAATTCAGTCCCTTGAAGTTTCAGAAAGACCCACTTCTTCCTTAAGTCGGGGACTGAATTGAAATTTTCCGAAAATACACTGAACATAGCTCATCGCAGCTCCTTCCGGCAAACACTCTCTTCGGCCTCACCTCCATCCATATCCTCAGCCTCCGCTTCGCCTCACCACTCCAACATTTTCTTCGACGAAATTCAGATCGGTTTGGAGCTCAGATTCAATCTCATTATTCAAAACCCATCAACAACCCGTGAAAATCCAAGAAAGTATCTTCCCCACATTAAAAACAGAGCTTTTCAGAGAAAAAATAACTATTTTTCACATTTTGAGTCCGTTCGCAACCGCGATTGCAACTGGAACGACGGTACCGTGACGTTCCGGCGAACCATGCTCAGCTCTCTCATAAAAAATAACTGTGATGATGCTAAAAATAGATCACCTTAGATAGTTGAATTGAGGGAGCTGGGAAAGCAAAGTGGGTCACTGCTCACGTGCTAGATGGCCCTGAGATACCTGCGAACAAAGAACACGTGAACTAGGCCGGGGGTTGATCCGGCGGAAACCCCTCCGACGCTCAAGTCAGACGTGCGGATAGTGGAAATAGTTGGGAGAATATGACCCCTAGTATTATTTGGATAATAGAGCGTACCTTAAGGATTGAGTTCATACCTTTATTTATAGCTTAGTTGAGATTGTCGGACCCAAACCTTACTTGAAGGTGATTGGGCCTCGGTGATAGTGGTCTTAAATATTGGGTTCGTGGCCCTTTAGATAAAGAAATTGTAGGCCCATTGGGTTGGCCCAAATAGGCATATCAAACTGAAATGGCTAAATTAAAAAAAAATAAACAAGTAATGACGAGCAAAACATTAATCGATGCAAAAGTAAAATATGTTACGCCGAATTTAGATCCTAAGAAAAGATATGCAAATAGAGACTAAATATGTATCTATTCAAGCAAACTAAATCAATACTCTATTGTATACATTTTCTCTTCCTCTTTCTCTTCCTTTAGATCCTAAGAAAAGATATGCAAATAGAGA